CTTGGTTGTTTCTCTACTTCTGGACTTTTGTGTTGCTCCAGAAGAAAAGTTTTGCAGGCACATCGGTTTTACAAATCTGGCCTATTATTTGAAGACTGTCACATCTTTGCCTCCCAGGAAGGTGAGCTTCTATTTGAACGGAACCATCCTTAATTAGTCAAAAAGAATGCCTGCTAGGGAGTAGTAGATCTATAATCGCCCCCTTCCCCTCCTCAACCTTCAATGTGGCCCTGGAACCCACACGTAGATGTGGTTGTTTGTTATGTGTTTATGTGTGGATGGAGATGGCTTAATTAAAAATGTATATGTCAGGTCGAATTACTTAACTAAATAGAAGTGGATCATGCGACTTCGTCATGGGTTGGCACCGAAACATTGCATTGTAGAAAAATGAATTCACTCCACAACCTAGTCAAAGACCACGGAGAATGGAAATGGTCGTGTAGCGCGGAACTGTAAAGAAAATGTCGTAAATGAGAGAAAGAGGACAAAAAGTCTAGATACAAGTCTGTGTGCATGTTGTATGCCAGCCAAGGAAAGCATTTGTCCCACCCTACACTGTCAGGTAAACGATCACGATGGAAAGAAACTTAGCAACAGGAAGGTTACTCAAAATCGTTAGTATAGTCTGTATGTGATCGCCGCCAGGTGAAAGTATCTAGGCAACAAAACAATCCGGATGGCGCGGTGGCTTTTGGGTATGACCTTTGCTGAAGTCAGCGTGACCGATTCAGTCAGGTCGTTAGTGGTGCCAGCCAATGATTATTTTTAATGATTATACGTAACAGTAAGGATCCCTGTTCATTCATTGAGACATGAGGAACCCTATTCACTCAGTGAGGCCTGAAGTTATATGGTGATGAAATTTTCGGGTATCTATTTTGGACTATGTTGTGCAAAAAGAGGTCATAGAACTGAATCCTGGTACCAAAATGGATTAGAATATATTAGCTTTGCGCCAACTGGCAAGCGTGCTGGTCAGATTGGTTGGTGGACTCCCGATAAATGAATGTAGTTTCCGTAAATGTCGCCAAATTATTGCCACCAACAGCTTAGTCACATCAGTCATTCCATCTATTATGATTTTGTGAAAGTACTGAAACATGAGAGTCAACACAGACTTACAGCACACGTGCAACAGACTCAACCTTTGACTTTTATAAGCTGACCTTCAAGTTTATGGTTGATCTGAACTCACGGTATACCCCTCTTTTCATTGCTGCAGGTTTTCGCTGTAGCTATGGCAACTAAATCGCTGTACTTGCTCTTCCGTGTAGATCTCATGTCTTGAACCACGGCCATCTTTAGATATAGGACTGGAGAAGTCCGTGCTTGAACAGATGTCGCTAGATGAAAACTAGACGTCACCGCATTCGGAAAAACCCCATCGGCGCTGGGTTTCCCACAGATTAGAAGAAGGGTATTTCTGGAGCATGTGGAGACCGACTGATTTGTCTGTCATCAGTCCCCATTGCTTTCAGCAGTGGCTTGAAGCTTACCTCTGTGATTTGTCTGTCACCTGTCCCCATTGCTTTCAGCAGTGACTTGAAGCTTAACTCTGTGATTTGTCTGTCACCTGTCCCCATTGCTTTCAGCAGTGGCTTGAAGCTTATCACTGTGATTTGTCTGTCACCTGTCCCCATTGCTTTCAGCAGTGGCTTGAAGCTTACCTCTGTGATTTGTCTGTCACCTGTCCCCATTGCTATCAGTAGTGGCTTGAAGCTTACCACTGTGATTTGTCTGTCACCTGTCCCCATTGCTTTCAGCAGTGGCTTGAAGCTTATCACTGTGATTTGTCTGTCACCTGTCCCCATTGCTTTCAGCAGTGGCTAGAAGCTCACCTGTGCTCCCTCTTTCTCCTGTTCGAATCCTCACCGTGAAGAGCATATTTTTTACTGACTGGGGTTCCCAGGTCGGCACAGCCTTAAAAATTGGTATCTGGGAATGCCCTGGAAGGTAAAAGCTGATCGTATGTGGTTGCCTACATAATCCATTGATTGCCGATTCGTCTGTAAAAATGTGTACCTTTATCAAGATGCTTGTCGGGGGGTGGTGGGGGCGGGGGGGGGGGGCTGGCTGAATAGACAATATAACAAACCGGACACAACAAAGAAGACAACATAGCTCTGTACTGATAAATATATCACCCCAAAGGAGCAGCGTTCCGGTCATAAGCAACCTACACAAAACTGAGTTAGCTGAGCCAAGTGAGGCACATTGATAAGTATCACTTGTCTTGGTGAGTTCACTCCTGGTGTGGCATAGCAGAGCCAAGTGAGGCACATTGATAAGTATCACTTGCCTCGGTGTGTTCACTCCTCGAGGGGCATGTAAGCCACTAGTGTCACGCGTACACAGATGGGCAACTTGTAGACTGTAGCAATGCTAGGCAACGGGGCTTACAACTGCACCATCACCGACCGACACAAGGAATCAATCAATAAAATACACGAGTCTTGCCTTGAGTGCTTCGTTAAACGCTATTCGTGCAAATAGACATTCCAACTCTCAACCATCGATCGACAAGCTTCAGGTCTACGCTGTGGAGTGTCTACCCGGTCTGACATGGTTGTGTGTTTGCTCAAGTATACACAGCATAGACGGCTAGAAACAATCTATAACTTGGAATTCTTACCAGTTGGTTTTTACGAAATTATATGCGCGCCGTTTTCTCTCGCTTTTTGCTTCTTCTTCTTGTACTTTATTTTTAATTCACCCCAAACAAAAGGACATCTCGGGGTTTCTGAGAAGGTCCAATAGTACAGGGGTGTTATGGGTTGGGGTTACGGTTAGGGTGCCTAATTTTAATTTCTTTAACGATTGAAAGTGGTACCTGAGATTGATCATGTTGGATCTGCACCCCTTGTCAAACCTTCAGGTAGCAAACTAGAGCTGTCAGTCTGTCATGTGCAAGTATTGTTCGTAGCGGACTATCTGGTTGTCTTCTGCCTGTACTCATCACTTCCCACCTGTCATGTGTGTGTAAACACACCCAGTTCGTTTTCTAATCTTTCTGTCGCCTAAGCCGTCCATATAGCTGCTGTCAGTCAGTACCCCCCTTCTGAACTGATCAACAATGTTTCCATCTGGAACAACCCCCCCCCCCACCCCCACCCCCTTTTTTCCCCTCTCGGTATCAGAGTTATTCAATCGACTCTGACGTCACGAAATTACTGGATTAAATCTGCAGTGTGTGCATGAAGACATTTGACCATGTATGCCAACCGCAAGTTCAATGTTTGACTTTCTTCAACAATACTCTGGTTGTCTATTTTTAGGGCAAGACACTCCTATATATATATATATATATATATATATATATATATATATATATATATATATATATATATATATCACACGTGTTTTTGTTTTGAACCTGCGACCTTCAGGTCCTCAGTCGAGCTTCTAGCCGCTACGTCACGGCAGCTTCGCCAACTTGTTTGTGAGAAAGTAAAATCTATAGTTCAAAGTAACTATGGTTTGAAGTAGCTATGGTTTGAAGTAACTATGGTTTGAAGTAACTATGGTTTGAAGTAGCTATGGTTTGAAGTAACGTTTTCTGTATTGCCCCGCCAGTTTCGCGGACTTTCCCGCCAGTGATAAAACAGGCACACGATCACGATAAGCCACGTATTAGTCTATTATTAGTTGAGCGTTTCTGTCGTTCTCCACGTCAGCTTTATTAGCAAAATCCATAGTCCTCGCATGCAGTACATTGAAGAAATGTCATCTCCTGTCTTTCTAAGCCAAAACACGTTGACCATAATGCTTTCTTTAACTACCTGCCTTTACAAATGATACATGTCACCAGCCTCACCATCTTCTACTTCTGCCCTTAAGTGGCGTGGGGACGGAGTATTTGGTGGTCACAACGCTGAGACATGGCACTGGATATTGTTGCCAACATATGTAATTGCTTTGGCCACACTGGGTCATTTACCACGGGAACAAGCAATCCTGTGCTAACACGTGAACAATTGACACCTATGGGATTCCATACATCGATCGGCTAGTGATGCGATGCATGTAACAGCCCGTCGCATCCTAACCTAGGCCGAGTAGGTAATAATCAACCTCCGTGTCTGCGGGTTGGCTTTATCGATTACTTCCGCGATGTACCCAATATAACATGTTATAACGTGGGCCCACAACGGCGGCGGTTCATCGTTGTCTTACACAATGTCTTCAGTTCTTTCTGGAACACAGATCTGATATTGGTTTCCAATGACCTTCAACAATCTCTCTCTCTCTCTCTTTCTTTCTCTCTCTCTCTCTCTCTCTCTCTCTCTCTCTCTCTCTCTCTCTCTCTTGTGCTCGCAGGCATACACACGCCGCATAGCCTACTATTAAATGATATATTCACTGCAACAGTCTTCAATACTATTCTATCACCATGCGAGTGTCTATTAAAGATAAAACCACATCAGTTCTTGTTTTGTAATTTTTTATCTACTACATCTCAAAGTAAGACCAGTATATCGCCATTAACTTTCTCTTGATAACCGCCATTTGATACCAGCGGTTATTTAGATATTTCTTTGATTTCTTGAAAAAGACATGCGCTGATGAAGGCTCTCTAGCCGCAACGTTTACGTTTTGTTTGTATTTGTTATATTGTGAAGCTTGCTAATATAATTTTCGTTCAGTTTTATATCTTTCTTTGCAAAAGACATAACACACGATCTTCCCATAAATACTCTACTGTTTTCTCATGTTGACATTTGACCTCTTGATTCGTGTATCTTCTACAGAGCTGTCACCTATGAGAACCAGTCTAAAGACTACAGAAAGAAGATCGAAACTCTGGGAAACCAGATTGGCGAGTATGAAGGAGAACTGCACACTCTGAGGTTGAGATGCGGGTCGCTTGAGGATGAAAATGCCAAGATCCGAGAACTTCTGGAAAAACTCCAGGCACAGATCAGACGTCTGCGTGCAGTAAGTGTTCTTGACTTTGTGTTGACTGACATCCTGTCATGACAGTGTATAAGGTGTCAACATGGCACCATCACATTTACTGCCAGGTTCATTTGTAACCATAGAAACTCCAGAATGGTTATCATTTAAAAAGAAATTGTAGTTTCATTATGCTACCAGTCCTGTAAACAAAAATTAGTAATGTTAATATTTTGTTATTGCATTTTGTGTGTGTGTGTGTGTGTGTGTGTGTGTGTAAATTTCTGCCGTTACAGCAGTGGTCAGGATAATGATAGTTGAAAATGAATCCTCCCACAGTTGTACCAGTATTTATATCTAAAAAAAAAGTTTGGCAGTTTAAATCACAGTGTAATGAATAAAATAATCCATACATTATGTTCATAATATTGCAGTTCATGTTCATAATGTTCAAAACATTGCAGTTCATGTTCATAATGTTCAAAACATTGCAGTTCATGTTCATAATGTTCAAAACATTGCAGTTCATGTTCATAATGTTCATATTCTCAGATATTCACAAATTCAACAATCACAATGACTCATATGTGTTTTTCCCTTGTCAGGATCTGGACACAGAAACGGCAGCCCACATTGAGGCTGACTGCCTTGCCCAGACCAAGACAGAGGAGTGCGAGTTCTACAAGGATCTCCTCGACCAGGTAAACTAACTAGATTAGTGGTTGTGGCCTCTTCTGCCTGGGGTAGATGAAAAGGCCTAGGGAACAGTCAGGTTTTCAAGATTCAATCAGCTTAAAGCTAAAGCGTTGTATGCATGTGCCATCCACCATAGTACGCCAGAGGTGTGACCTGAAAGCAAATGTCTAGTCACTGTTATGACTGTTTGAGAACTATCATTACTGTTTGTGTCAAGTAAAGATCCATTTTTGTTAGAACAAATGGCACACAATATCAGTCAGATTAAATTTTCCCCCATATAAATTCCTGTGATCCATTTTAGACTGGGTCCACCTGGATTCCCAGGTCAGTGAAAGCACATTTATCTCATTTGATCTTCTGTATGTTGTGTGAGTGTATGTATTGTGTGAGTGTATGTATTGTGTGAGTGTATGTATTGTGTGAGTGTGTGTATTGTGTGAGTGTATGTGTTGTGTGAGTGTATGTATTGTGTGAGTGTATGTATTGTGTGAGTGTATGTATTGTGTGAGTGTATGTATTGTGTGAGTGTATGTATTGTGTGAGTGTATGTATTGTGTGAGTGTATGTATTGTGTGAGTGTATGTATTGTGTGAGTGTATGTGTTGTGTGAGTGTATGTGTTGTGTGAGTGTATGTATTGTGTGAGTGTATGTATTGTGTGAGTGTATGTGTTGTATGAGTGTATGTATTGTGTGAGTGTATGTATTGTATGAGTGTATGTATTGTATGAGTGTATGTGTGTTAATTATCAGTTTTTTTAATAATAAATGTACAGCATGTTTTTGTTGTGCTCTGTTAAACAAGATTGACTGCGAAGCTGATGTGCAAAAATATGTTTAATTTGGCCTTCCTATTCAGTGCACACTTCATACACTGTCATCATTATCATGTAGCAGGTCCTTTGCAGAACGTCGCTCTCATCACAGTCTGCCTGAAAGAAACTCGGTCTCTCGCCAGTTCTTCCGCCTCATGAACTTTCATACTCAAGGAGTCACTTAAATTATGTGCCCATCTTTGTGTCAGTCGGCCCCTGCATCTCCTTCCTGGTACCATGCCGTCTGCTATAATTTTTTCTAATCCGTCGTGGCGCTTGATATGACCAAAATATTTCAGCTTCTGAGAAAGGATGCTGTTTATTAGCCAATCTTCCTTGATGTTCACACAGTGTAGGGCACTATATTCATCAGAAACAGATGAATGCAAACTGTCTATAACCGACTGAGATTTTTTTGTGTGGGTCTTGTTCTCTCTCCCCCCACCCCCTTTTCCCAGCTTCAATTTGTTTTTACTCTAATTATAATGCCATCTTCTCTGTATACAGCTGGAGCTCCTTAAACCTGAACCTATTCAGATCAAGGGCATGGACTACGCTGACTTCTGGAAATCTGAGCTGGCCAAGTGTGTCCGTGAGATCCAGTGTGCCTATGATGAGAAGATTGACCTAATCCAGCAAGACTGTGAGGCTAAATATGAGTCCCAGGTGAGCAAATTCTCTCTCTCTCTCTCTCTCTCTCTCTCTCTCTCTCTCTCTCTCTCTCTCTCTCTCTCTCTCTCTCTCTCTCTCTCTCTCTCTCTCTCTCTCTCTCTCTTAATATTCATAAATGCCCCTAACTCCTCAACTATATAGATATCTAAGAGAAATGCAATGGGTTTTATTCCATGTACCTTGATCTATTTTTGTAGAGTTTTTTTTTTTCTTCTTTCTGCTTTGCTATGATGATCATACAAAGCACAAACTTCATAGCCTTGACATGATTGCAAGTAAACAAAAACATTGCATCAAGGAACCATAACATAAGATCTGCAAATGAACCCCAGTCCTAGAAAATGTTGACTTTAAGATATACCAGCATAGTAAGCTAGGCTACCAGTTCCCTTCCTTACTATATGTCCTTCTAAAATTATTTCCAGAAAATTCTCTATCATCTAAATTTTACTGCAGACATATGCAGCCAGAACGATATGGTCATGTATCAGTAAATGACCTGTTTTCACACCATGCTATTTGCCATATGGTACTATCACATATTCTTTTAGACCTATCGGTCCTCACTCGCCAATCAGTGATGTAGTCAATATCACACTGGTTGTCGTTACTTCCCATATTTTCTGGTACCCATTTTATGCTGGGTGTCAAGATCCATTTGTTTTTAAAATAAATCTACCTTAATAGAGGTTGGAACCTGTTACCACTGGTGCCAGAAGCTTTGTGAGTTAGCCACTGTCCAATGATGGCTCCTCTCATCGTTAAGTTGGAGGATGTATGAGATGTGGATAATCAAGTTACATCAAATTTTATGTGATTTTCTGGAAAGTTCTTTGACTTTCTTAATTTGACCTTTAATTTTACTTCCCCAGATCAACTCCCTGCGTTCTGGCAATGTGAAGGACGGCATGCAACTGCAGCATGTGCAGGAAGAGGTCAAGAAACTGAGATCTCAGGCTTCAGAGAAGAATGCTGCCTACGCTGAACTGGCTGCCAAGGTATGAGAATGTTCTTATTGTGATATGGTTTTCTTCTGTTACTTCTATAGTTTTTTTGGGGGGTGTAATTTGATCATATTCAGTTCTCTAGTGCGATGCAGTCTCCGCTCTGGAGTTTTAGGACAAATTAAGATAAATTACAATCTGATGCAAAAGAGCAGAACACAGGAATTTGATTCAACATACATTAGAAAATGTGCACTGAATTGAGTTAATAAATGACATAGTACTAAAGACACTACTGTAAGTGCTCCGTCACCAACCTTAGCAAGACAAAAATAGTTTGCACCAGTAGCAGACAAACTGTATGTTTTTGTTTTTTTTCCTTTCCTCTAAGTGTCAAGTATTAACCAGATCCCATGGCCACTGCTCACACCACCATTTCTTTGGACCATCCACTATTTCTCTTGACCATCCACCATTTCTCCAGACCATCCACCATTTCTCCAGACAATCCACCATTTCTCCAGACCATCCACCATTTCTCCAGACCATCCACCATTTCTCCAGACAATCCACCATTTCTCCAGACCATCCACCATTTCTCCAGACCATCCACCATTTCTCCAGACATTCCACCATTTCCCCAGACCGTACACCATTTCTCCAGACAATCCACTATTTCTCCAGACAATCCACTATTTCTCCAGACCATCCACCATTTCTCCAGACCATCCACCATTTCTCCAGACCATCCACCATTTCTCCAGACAATCCACCATTTCTCCAGACCATCCACCATTTCTCCAGACCATCCACTATTTCTCTTGACCATCCACCATTTCTCCAGACCATCCACCATTTCTCCAGACAATCCACCATTTCTCCAGACCATCCACCATTTCTCCAGACCATCCACCATTTCTCCAGACCATCCACCATTTCTCCAGACAATCCACCATTTCTCCAGACCATCCACCATTTCTCCAGACCATCCACCATTTCTCCAGACCAACCACCATTTCTCCAGACATTCCACCATTTCCCCAGACCGTACACCATTTCTCCAGACAATCCACTATTTCTCCAGACAGTCCACCATTTCTCCAGACAGTCCACCATTTCTCCGGACCATCATGCTTCCACATTGTTCACCTGCTTCCAAATGGCACTGACCACAACTTCATTGGAAAATAAAAACAGTGAATAGCATTACTAAACAGTACATTTTCAGAAATGCACAAAATAAAGTAAAAGAAAGAGAAGAATAGATCGAGAAGGACTTAAAGACAGAGATGAGAACTATGAAAATGTCATGGAAGGAACAAACAAAGATTTTTATGAAATGGTTTTGGTGCTAAGCTCCATTAGGGGAGAGAAGACATGAAAATTGAGTTAGTTCTATCATGCCAGTTGCCACATAGGACTCCTAATGTCACTGTGTTATACACATGTGTCTCTTTAGGGCCACATGCTGTAATCGTGTGTGATAGACCTCTAGAAGTTGAACCTTCATATTTGATAATTAGCAAGTCTTGACTATTTTTGCCTGGTAAAACAAGAGCCTACAAGAGCTTCTGTATTTGTAAAAAAAAAAATAGATCTTTCAAAGCTAGACATAACAGTGTTGATTTATCCACTATTGACCTTCCAAATCAAGATATGATAATGTTCACTTCTCCACTTCTGATTTTATAAACTTAGATATTACAGTGGTATTCTCCACTCGTGACTCTCCAAACTTAGATAGAACACTGTTAACTTCTCTACTCCTGTCCCTCAAAATCTAGATATAACAGTGTAAACTTCTCCACTAGTGACCCTCAAAACTCAAATATAACAATGTAATGTTCTCCATGTATGACCTTCACAACATAGATATAACAATGTAATCTTTTCCATGTATGACCTTCACAACATAGATATAACAATACAGTGTAAACTTCTCCACTAGTGACCCTCAAAACTGAGATATAACAATGTAATCTTGTCCATGTATGACCTTCACAACATAGATATAACAATGTAATGTTTTCCATGTATGACCTTCACAACATAGATATAACAATGTAATCTTCTCCATGTATGACCTTCACAACATAGATATAACAATACAGTGTAAACTTCTCCACTCATGAACCTTCAAACCTAGATATAACAATGTAAACTTATTCAGTTTTGATCCTCCAAACCTATATATAACAATTTAAACTTCTCCACTCATGAACCTTCAAACCTAGATATAACAATGTAAACTTATTCAGTTTTGATCCTCCAAACCTATATATAACAATTTAAACTTCTCCACTGCTGATCTTTCAAAGTTATGTATTTTAACAGTAGGTAAGAACTTCTCTGCTCTACACCGTCCAAATCAAAATATAATTGTATTAACTCCATTTGTGACCATGCAAACCTCAATAATAATAATATTGTTGATTTCTCCACTTCTCAGTATGCCTCACTACAAGCTGAACGTGATGCAATTGGACGTCAAGTTTCAGAACTTGAAAGAGAGTTGGAGGAACTACGAATTAAGTACAACCAGGATTGTAGTGATCTGTCCAATGAACTGGCAGCAGTCCTGGAATCACTGCAGGCCATGTCCAATCTCAAGTCAACTCTAGAACTGGAAATTGCTTGCTACAGAAAGCTTCTGGAGGGTGAAGAATCCAGGTCAGTTTGCATTCTTGTCACCATTCAGTTGAATCCTTTGGTCATAGTATTTGTTTTGGTTATACCAAAAACAAAACAAAAAAGGTAAAGTAGGGAGATATGAACCAGCGTCATTGCACAGGGTTATAAACCATAAGTGCTCTGCCACCAGTACGGACAGCCAATAAGAATCGTCCGCTCACACGTAACTCTGTAGCTACAGCGACGATCCTCCATTTACCCCAGAGTATCACTCTGGTACCCATTTCCTAGAGGCTGGGTGAACCCCGGGAGCCGCCTGGTTTCGTGTGGGCTGCAGCGAGTCGCAGCTGGATTTGAAAACGAGCTTCTTATCGACTGCACTAACGTGTCTCCCGTTTGGTAATACCAAGAAAGACAAATTGTCATCAAAGCCATTATTGTGGGGACATGTTAAGTGCTTTCATTGTGACTCCAGGACAGCATTGCTACCATGCTCCTCACTGGTGATGATGATTGTATCTATAACACTTTCTTCAATCATTTATTCGCATACTATACTGCACAGAATGTCCTTTATGTCGCCCATTGTTATTTTGATGTTTCCCATTTTTTCTCTTATTTATTAGTCAGAAGTGGAGGATCTATCTATCTGTCACTTCTTGTGATCTCTGCCAAAATATAGCTCTGTGCACAGATGGCTCTGTCCATAGATGGCTCTGTCCATAGATGGCTGTCCATAGATGGTTCTGCACACAAACGGCTCTGTCCATAAATGGCTCTGCCCACAGATAGCTCTGTGCACAGATGGCTCTGTCTATAGATGGCTCTGCCCACAGATGGCTCAGTCCATAGATGGCTCAGCTCACAGATGGCTCTGTCCATAGATAGCTCTGCCCACAGATGGCTCTGCGCACAGATGGCTCTGTCCACAGATAGCTCTTCCCACAGATAACTCTACCCACAAATGGCTTTGCCCACAGATACTGATCAGTTGGGCTGAACCATTTACACCCAGTACAAAACTGCAGAAGATTCTGGTTCAGTCTCCGAGTGAAGAGTGAACAATAAACAAAGTACAGCAGCTTCCTGACAAGCTTCTCCCCTTCTATTGAAAAAAATCCTTCATTTGTATTTGATTTATCTGCAACAAGAAGCTTAAGTTTGAAGCTATTTCCCACAAACACTTTCTATAAAAATATTTCTTGAACAAGTATACTTTAACACAAATAATTAACTAACTGCATTTTACAGGAATCAGATAGTTAACAATTTCTGGAAATGTGTCACTTATTTCTGATAAAACATTTCTGGCAGAACTTTTGAGTTTAAAATATAAAGACCAATATTCAACTGCTGAATTACATCTTTAACTTTCAGTCATTTAATACACATCATGTTAGTAACATGGAGCATAACATTTAGTCAACGGGGGTAAAGATTATGTTGAAAACAACATTAACTGGGGAGTTGCCGTGGCCAAGCAGCTAGGATCGGAAGGTCGTGGGTTCGCTCCCTGGCAGAGCCGGACATTTTTCAAAAATGACCTTGGCTCCCAGGTCGAATCAGCCTTGAGTGGGTACCGGTTACAGTTCCAGGAAAGTAAAGGCGGCTGGCGTGATGCTGACCACATCACCCTCCTGTGCCAATTGGTCTATAAAAATATAGGTCTTGCCCTTATGCCCTATACGCCTAAAGGCGTGAAAAATGGTCCTTTACTTACTTACAAGATTAACTGGGGTTTTTTTTTAAAAGAAAATAATACAAACTTGCTTTCAGTTCTCTCAGCTTAAAGGAGTTAAATTATTTATTTATTAAATTTAAAACTCTTTAAATGATGAAGCAATATAACAAAGTTTTTTTTTTTCTTTTTGAGTTGATGAATCAGTATTTTGATCAAGAATTATCTCGGTTTTATTAATTCTAGAAGTATAATTATTTCTTACTAAGCATCATTTTAAATGCTGCTTCAGGAAATTTACACTAAAATTGGTTTTCAAGACTATTATCAAAACATACTTGTTCAGATATTTAAAGAAGCCTTTTCTATACACTTATACATTTACTGTTAATATTATTACATAACCGAAGTCATTACGGCAACGCATGTTGAATACAGTTGAACCCATGACAGTAAACCTCCACTCCCAAACAAAAACATTAAGATTTTTCTTTAAACCCTGCACTTTGTAACCTGAGGTTTAATGAAGAGGAACTTCTCACTAAATCTCTAAATCTATATATACATAAACATATACATTGGCATATTCATGCATAGATTACGTTGCTTCCCAAACTGATTTATAATTTTTAATGTGTGGTATTAATATGGTTTCAGGGTTGGTCTGAGATCTCTTGTGGAGGAAGCCATTGGAGTGCAGGGAAGAGGAGGTGCATCTCTGAAGGATACCATCCAACAATCCAGTTAGTATGGCACTCCAGTAGTGCCTTCAACCTCGGCCTCTGTAGTTATCAAAACTTAGTTGTAAACTATTCCATGCACTTCCTTTCTTCTGTGAATCAATTACTGAATCTACAAATAATGTATCTGAAAACTGTTTCAAACAGCTTCTCACCCTGTTCAGATATAGTGTGTATTACTTCAGCTTTCCCAGAGACTGTTTAAAAGATAACTATATGTCCCTGTAGGTGCACAGCTTCATGTTTTTATCCAAACAGTATGTATCTTTTTAAGTCACATTTTGTGGGAAATTGTTAACAATAATCATTTAATATCTCCAAATGAAATAACATCACAAGTGCTTGTTAAAATGAAACAGTAGAATTTTAGATTTAAGAACTTGCAGCCTGATATTGTGATACATTTGTAATCTGCGTTTCGAGACAAATGTATCCAAATAAAAGACTGACTTCAAGACAGCAAGTATATGGTGCTACAATCACAGTATTAGTCGAAGTCTAGCGAAGCTGTATAAGTTACTTCACCTTGTCTTTTGAAACCAAACAATTGTAATTAATTACTACTTGTTTTACTAATCTGGCAAGTTACATCTTTCTATTAACCAACTTGAAATTTTTGGTGGAAAATTGGACGCCTGATAAACTGGTAAGTTTTGTTTTCAATACGTGTTAACTGAATATTTTTATTATTTATTGTCATCTATTTTGTAAACTGTTTTAAAACTCTCACATTTTCAGTAAATTTTTTTTTCAAGCAGTCTATTCACTTTCTTGTATGCTGTGATAATATGTACATTTTAAATCTAGAGACTATTTTTGAAAAGAGAAATATTTTTAATATGGTCAGGGAACTTAAGACATTATGCCAATATATTTTTGGTACCCCTTTGTTGTCTTGTAACTGTGCACTTGTCATTACCTATTGGATATCTTATAAGAGCTACTATCAGACAAGAATTCAACATTCAGTTGATTAGTTGAAAGAAAATAATAGCAACCCTGCAAGAGTAAATAAAAGTTTTGTCCATAAAATGCTCAGTGACATTGCGCTATGTAGCTTATTGAAATGCACATTTTTTATTTTTAAGACATAACATGACAGGAAACTCCCTGAAAACATTTTCTGCACAAACAGTTTTGACCCCTCAATGGCACGCTTCTGTTCTTTTCAGTGTTAACAATAGTTTTCATGCTTTTTTTTAATTATCATATATAACTTAGAATAAACAATAAATTTCATCTGAGAGAAGTTTTTGTCATCAGATTTTAATATATGTTAGGATAAGTACTTTTTTAATAGTTGTGCACAGTGCAATGTAGAGTTTTGTGAAATGTGCTAACTCACTTTTAGATTTTTGAGATATTTAAACTTCTAAATTATTTAGAATCTTATACATATATCCTAACCGAAGAATCGAAATTCATAAAAAGAAATGTATATCAACAACTCACTATTAATATTATATATTTAAAACCATATATGCTTTCCAGTAGAATGAAAGAATTGTATACTATATTGTCAACATTTTTTCCTGTTTGACAAAATCCCATATATTTACAAATTATTTTCTTTTTGAAAAGATTTATTTTCTTCTATGTTGTAGAGAACACAATAAAAGATATACAATCGCACAAGCATGTTGACCATTTATTTAGAATGTTTTCCTGTGTGCGTGCAAGATTATTGTAGCTATGTATCATGCCCGAACCACAAAGATTGCATGCTCTCTTTGACATACATAGACTTATGACTTGCACTAGGCGTAACTATCTATCTACATAGCTACAACTTAGAACATTCAACTATATCTGTCACTTGCACTAAAACCTTGCGAATTATAATACTTTATAAACAGATGGTGGTTGGTTATTTCTTGTAAATATTTCAAATTACATTTAGTATTGATATTTTTAAAAACCTAAGCATCTCCTTAATCAAAAATGAAATAGGCAAATTATAAATGATCAACAGCATAACAGTTATTAAAAAAATACTAATAAATGAAAGACTTATAATTTACTGAAGAATGATTCAGATTCCTAAAACATTTAATTATATTTCTAAACAAAGATAGTGACTTTCTATTGTTCTCATTAAAAAAATATTTATATATATTAAAGTTGAATTGTTGGTTTTGGGTAAAATAGTTTAGCAAATGAATTCTGTTAACAGCTTCCTTGCCAGAGAGTTAGTTTGAGAAATGCCTGTACTAAATCTGCACGCTTTGCACCTTTCTAATCACTTCTGTTTTGAAAAGCCAGGTTCATGTGTATGGTGGTTCTATATGTGGCTGCTTCATTGATGTAGATAGAGATAACCCTGTTGCCTAATATGTTCCATGATATTACATTTCCCAGGTAGGATCATCAGGTTTATGAACATATCACATCTCATACAGTGTATGCCTGTATGTGATGTTATATGTTTGAATGGATTTGTATGTTAAATGTTAAGTAAACCTCATAATTATAAATATCAGAATTGTTTGGGAAGAGCACTTTATGGAGGATTTTGTAAATACTGTTTGTTTATGTCTTCTCTGCCAAAATTATTTTTATATTGTTAGAAGTTTACATCAAATTTCTAACTTTATCTTCTCAATGTGCCATTGTTTTGGAGTATAAAGATAATTCTGAACTTCCTTTAAGCCATTACAAGTCCTTGCTGTCGTATTTTCTTTTCTATGGCATTTTTATATTCTTCTTTTTCTGCCTTTCTATCCCCCAATGGAGCATAGGCCTTCAACCAACTCACGCCAAGTCGTTCTATCCTTCGCCATTGCATGGAGCTCTCCCCATGTCCTCCCCATCTTTCTAACTTCATTCTCCAGCTCTCTTCTCTATGTGTTTTTCGGCCTTCCTTTATTCTTATGCAAAGACATTCTAGTTATGCTGTTCTCCTGTTTTATCAGTGTGTGTCCTATCCAATGCCAGCATTTTTATATTATAGACTGTTATTTCAGCCACTGTTTCTCTAATCATTAATGTTGAAACTTATCACACAACAGCTGGTTCAGCTCTAACTTCATGTCTACATCTCCTACTACACCTATATTTGCTATGAGGTGCCATGTGAACAGACCTCCATGAATTCTTTTTTCCTTGATCAGAAATCTGGCCTTAGATTTTCAAATCTTTGCCCAAGTTTAGGTCACCAGCTTAGCAAATTATGATGGGAAATCGGGTCAGTGTGTCAATTACATACTTCTCGTCCTTTTAAGGGTAACATTTATCGTTATTTGAAGCCCTACTCTGGCTTTTGCCAGAGGCCGCAATATAGCCTGGACATAAATATGGCCTAAAGGCTGAATGCGGTTTCTGGGACCTCTCCACGGTGATCCTCACCCACATGGTGGCACATTGTGTCATCTGGTGTTTATCGCTTGTGGGATGTCCTGGTGGGGTAGAAAGTCAGTCAGTCAGTATGTCACTACCTATAACTGATCTGTTTTTGTTTGATTTGAAGACAACCACTGTCTTATATTGTATGGGTATATGATCACTGTTGAAATCCTTTGGTGACATGCATGTCAAGTAGCCTTATGAAATGTCTTCCCTTTCATTTCTAAGCTTCTTTTATAACTGCTAATCGGTATTGTGTAGAGTATCTCTTGCATGTTATATTGTGCAGCTGCATGCATGTGTTCAAATACTTCAGTGGTGTTCATCGTTTTCTTGAAACAAGTTATAAATGTTACGGTCTCGTTAGGGAGCTGCATGTATAAATAACAACAGTAGCTTATCTAACTGTTTTATACAATTAATTACAAGCAGAATGTTTTATCGAAATATAAATAGAAAATGTTGTCATTACTGAGTAATTTTTTCTAAAAATTATAAACTATAGCATACTCTCACAGATATTTTAGAATGCAAGACCTGGCAGTTTTATTTGTAGCCTAAATTATGATAATTGATTAAATCTAACTGAGAATCACACAAAATAGATTGAAGAGAAACATATACTTATTGACTGTGTAAATTTATTATATAATTTGTAAATATATGGGTTATTGTATCATAGCATTGTAGTAAACCTGTAGTAATGTTAGAATATATAAATCTAGTTTTCATTATGATCACATCTTTAAGGAAATTAAGCAGTCTCAGAATAAAATTTATTATTCCTGCGGTGCAAAATACATATAACAAATGGAATAGCCAATTTCACTGGGCATTATACTTTGGGAAAAATAAGAAGCTATAGAGCAGTGAAGGAAAGTTATCACTTGAATTTGTTATTGTTTCTCCTGTACCATGGGGGATAAATTTTATATAGATCCTGCCAAAAATCATATCTGGTGTCTTATGTAGAATGTGTTGTATCTGCACGATTAGTATTTATTCTTTGCAGCATTTTATAGGTAACCCATTCCAGGTCAAAGATTCATTATGGTATAATCCCTAGCCTATGCCAAGTCAAAGATTCATTATGCTATAATCCCTAGCCTATGCCAGGTCAAAGACTCAATATGGTATAATCCCTAGCCTAAGCCAGGTCAAAGATCCATTATGGTATAATCCCTAGCCTAAGCCAGGTCAAAGATTCATTATGGTATAATCCCAAGCCTATGCCAGTTCAAATACTCATTATAGTACAGTCTGTATCTCTTGCTATTTTCGAAATTCATTATGGTATTAATTGTAATCGATGATATTTCTGTTTGATTCCAGCTCATTGGTGTGTAGTCTGTAACCTTGACAAATCAGATATATATTATAAATGACATATAAAACAGTAGCTTCAACATCCATTATGATCTACTTTGAAAAAGTAAAAAGCAAAGTAAAGGAACTTTTCTAGGCCTTTAGGTGTATTGCACATGTAGGGCTAAACTTGTATTGTATAAACCAATCAGCACTCGGCGGGTTATATGGTCAACATCACGCCTGATCTACTTTGTAGCAATTTAATTTAAACGTTGAAAGTAGTCAGATCTGTAAGAGTCTCAGTTCCTACCAGTCACTAGGGCATAGTTTGCTAGCAAAGCTGAGGCCATATT